TAGAAGTACTAATATCCCACTAAACCACAGTGCCACAGACCATCTCAGTCCCTGGGGACAGTGGCTTAAAGATGTGTCTACAAAATATTCACCCTCCTTCCCCTCCTCTCCACCCCCCCCCAAATCACTTCTGAATTCGGCATGGCTGATGGATGAATTGCTTCCTGTTGCAGGTCTTCAAACTCTGGAGGCTCTGCTGGGTCAAGGAGTCTTTGGGGCTTTGCTACTCACCGGGTTGGCGGCTCACAAACTTTGGCCTCCTGTCACTGGACCTCTGGTCCTCTGACCTTTTGAATCTCACCTGGTCATTCCATCTCCATTACTCCTTCACCAAAGAGCAGGAAAGTACAGACCCAGCAGGGCCAGAAGAAGCAGCAGGACCATGTGTTCATGGCTTCATGTTAACCAGAGTAGGGGCGTAGGCTGCTGGCTGCCACAAGAAGGGGCTCACAGAAGTTCTTGCCTAGATCACCACCAGGAAAAAAAGAATAGAACTGTTCCCTTGGGAAAAGCCAACTAAAAGGTGTGCAGAAAGCAGCCTAGAAGGGGTTGTAGAATACCTGTGCAAGCTCCAGCGTGGCAGCAGGGGCCTCCTGGGACCCTCCTTCCCTCTCTCTGGGTGGACAGGGTGGGGGGGGACATCTGGGAGTTCTTCCCAGATCTTCAGTTTGATGAGGACACTGCAGGAATTGATCTCATCATTGCTTTCCTGGACGTCAAAATTGCCAGAAACTCATCGCTCTGTAAGATGAAATCAGCTCTGAAACTCACAACTCCTCAGATCATCTTTCTTACCTGTGGGGTAAGCTCCTTCCCCCCCTACTCTCCTCGCCCCCCAACCTCCTCCCTTCACCACTTTTTAAAATGTTATTTTCTTCCCCCGTTAGATTGTAAGCTCCTTGAGGACAGGGACTGTTTTATGCCTTTCCTTGCACCCCTAGCAGTCAGCATAGTAGGTACTCAATAAACATTTATTGACTGACTGACTCTGATTCCATTATGAATGCCTGGACTCAGGCTCACCAAACGACCAATCTGCCCCTCTCCCCTTACATTTGTATCTATTAAAGCACTATAAAAATGTGAGTTGTTATCTTAAAACAACAACAACACCCAGTGATTTTCTTTGCATGCTCCAACTCTCCTGTTGTCCCAAAAAGCAACAAACTTGGAGCTCATTATTGTTTATAAATACAGCACTCTCTCCCTAGGGGTTCCATCCAGTGTGATGATTAAACTTGGCTTCTAGGGGAACTATATAAGTCTGGGCTTCTAACGCCGTGGCTTAGGATATGAACTTGTCATGAACAATACTCTTGTGTTGTCATGAACAGCACTGCTTGTCATGCACAATAAGCCAGTGGACCCAATTATCTCTTAGTAAAGGGATTTGCTAATAAGCCACAGTAACAACAGAAGCTACAAAAAGATTCCCCTCATAAACCCACACTGCAGTTGCCTACAAATACACACATTGTTCATGGGAAGAGAGAGATCACGCTTCAGTTCTAATGCTATTGAGGCACACATGTAGGCTCCATATATGGCAAAGGCAACTCATTACTCCAGGTACTGGAAATCAATCTCTCTTTGCATCTCATTACAGTTTTCTTCGGGTTGCAGGGTCTCCACTGGGTTCATGGGACTTCCTTTCATAGCTCTGGTCTCTTTTCTGTGGCCACGAGTCCCCATGCCTTGAAGCTGCTCCTTCCCTGGAGGAAAAGACGTCTCTCTGCGTCTGTGTCAGGTTAGAATTTGTGTCTCTGCTCCTGCAGGACATGGTGTTTTCTACCGGAGAAGCAGCTCCACTTGGAAGTGTCCTGGCCAGTGGGAGAGGGGAGGTAAGAGAGAAAGCCCTCTCCTCTTCACCAAGAGTGATTCCCTCTCAGAAACCTGATTGCTTCCACTTCAGCTTATCACCTTGGAACTTTACTCTGTTTGAAGCTGCCAGTTTGGGGCTTAGCTCTACACAGCCCTCAAAGGTGTGGGTGATTTGTTTGCTCAGCCAACATAGTTGTTCCCTTCTTGACAAATCAGATAGGTGTGCACATCTCATAAAGGTATTTTATACCTCTTTAAGGTGTTAAAACTACATTCAATGACTTCATCAACTGAACTGGGTGTGGGGACTCAGTCACCTCCCAACAGATAGTTCAACTTTTCTCCCACTAAAAATGTCAACGTTGGAAGAAAAGTGGGACTTCTCCTCTTGACCAATACATCTATGAGGCTCTTAAAAGCAGAAGTCTTTACAGAATGACCTTTATCATAAAAGTTCTGAGAAGCCCAAACAAGTTGTCTGTTTCCTGACTGAATGGTCCTTTGCATTTGGAAATGTGTTTGTGGCTTGGATCTGTCTCTATATGTAAGCAATTATTGAAATGACCCAAACAGATGACAAGTCTAAATAATCTCAGGTTCAGCTCAGCTGTTGGCTAAGATAGGTCACACTCTGGGTCCTGTACACAATTGGGTCTTAGTATCTTTAGGGTTGGAACTATCCCCACAAAGCAGAACTAGTACATTTTCATGACATGAATTTTCAGCAGACAGGCAACTATGATTTTCTTTTCTTTTCTTTTCCTTTACCCCTTAAAATTATTATTAAAAAAAAAGGTCAGGTTGCTATTTTGAGCAAGGACCTGTATTTAAATTTTGCCTTTGACCCATAATCCCTGTGCCTACCTGTGGGCAAGTCACTCAACTTCTTAGCGTCTTAAATAACTCAATAAAACTATATGGTACAGGTGAATTACTCATTTACATGGGTGGAGGAAGTTTTCACACTGGGAGTTCTAATCATTGATGAAATCACAGCTCTGCATCAGAAATAAAAACAGGCTCCTACATAGACCATTGGGCAAATATCCTCTGGGGAGTCCAAATCTAAGAACCACAGCTTCCTTAAGGGAACCATCTTGTTACTTTTAACCTTGCTCCAGTCCAGTGGAATACATCACTCCACTTCTGGGCTCTTCATTTCAGCACTGCAATTAAATTTATGGAATCAGAGGGATTGAGAAATCACCTTGCCCAATCCCAATACTATTTCCATTTCATTAAGAAGGAAACTTAAAGTTAGAGAAATTAAATGACATGCTCAAGGCTACTTCGCTAGAAACAAGGCTACTTTGCTAGTTCAGTTCTAAACTATAGAACTATTTTCATTATCTTATATTTACCTATCAGCATAATTATGCTATTCCCTTAGAAGAATATAATCTTATAATAAAGTCATTAGCTAAATAATTTTAATTTCATAATCTTGGATTAACTCTGAACCACTCTAAAGAATTTTATGAGGAATATCTCATCACATTCTAATAGTGGAAGAAAACACATAAAAAAGAGCTAGTAGGACATCCAAAACATTTCCTCTGCTGTCACCCCACTGCATGCTGTTCCTCACACCCTCCATTTCACCTCTCCAGCTCTCTTTCATAAGTTATCTTACCCTGCTAACATAGGATTAAAATGTAAGCCCCCAGAGGTCAGGGGCTGTCTGGCTTGCTTGCATCTACATAGTACACCCACATAGTAAGTGATTAATCATGCAATCTTCTATTCATCCATCTGTCATCTTTCTTTCCCTTTTTTCTTTTTTCTATCTCCCTTTTTCTTTTCTTCTTCATTTCTTCCTTCCTTCCCTTCTCTATTCTTCCTTCCTTTCCTTCTCTATTCTTCCTTCCTTTCTTCCTCCTTCCCTCCCTCTCTTCCTTTCTTTTCTTTGTCTATCTATCTACCTACCTACCTACCTCTCTTGACATCCCAAGCTGAAAGACCTCTCCTCAAATTTCTCATAGCACAACGTCTTGGACTGCTCTTTTACATTTAAATTTGCCACATTCTTCCATATATCATAGTTATAATGGCTAATATTTACATAGCACTTCAAGGTTTGCAAAGGGCTTTATAGATATCATCTTGTTCGATCCTCACAACCACCTGATGAGGTAGGTGCTTTTATTATCCTCGTTTTACGGGAGAGGAAACTGAGGATAGGAGAGGTTCAATCACTTGCCTAGGGTCACACAGCTACTAAGTGTCTGGCAGTATTTGAATTCAGGTCTTCTTGACTCCGAGTGCATCGTCTGCTCCTCGCGCCACCTAGCGGCCTATGGGATACTGCTATATGGGACACAGTCTATGTATACAGGACAGCTAGGTGGAGCGACGGATAGAGTGCTGGGCCTTTTCATGAGTTCAAATTCGACCTCAGACACTTAATAGCTGGGTGACCCTGGACAAATCACATAACCTTGCTTGCCTCAGTTTCCTCGTCTGCAAAATGAGCTGAAGAAGGAAACGGCAAACCAGTATCTTTGCCAAGAACACCCCCAACGGTGTCACGACGAGTCGACATCATATATATTATGCACTGCCCTCCCCATCAGACCGTAAACCCCCGAACAACATGTTTTGGGGGGGCCTCTCGGGGAGCACCCGCACCGGGCGCTGCACATAGGAGATACACGTCCGTCAATTGGATTGAATCGCTAAGACCGCCGAAAGTCTTTTAAAATTAATCTAATCACTTAATTAATAGATTAATTAATGGAAATACTTCACCGAACTTTGCAAATAAAAAAGTCCTAGGCCGACGACTGTTTCTTCGGAATTGGTGTTTTAATTACCACCACAACTTTGTTACTTCCCAGGCAGCCAGTTAGGAGACAGCGGCAAGACCAATTAGAAACAGGGGGCAGAGGTCGGGGGCGGGGCCTCGGCCAGGCCACGCCCCTGGCGATCCCAGTTCCTTGCAGGCCTGCCTCCTTCCCCGCCTCCTTTCGTCGCGTTGCGGAGGAGGCGGTTACCATGGCGATGACGTCTGCCGGGCGGCACGGGGCGGGGCCGTGGGAGAGGAGGAGGAAGATGGCGGGAGGGCGGCTCTGAGGAGAGCTCGGCGGCGGCGACGGCGGCGGCGGTAGCGGCGGCTGCAGGCGGAGGAGGAGCAGGAGTGGGAGCGGGAGCGGGAGCAGGAGTCGAGGAGCCCGGCACCGGACCGCACCGCACCGCACAGCGCCGCGCCGGGGCCCATGTGGGGAGGAGTCGGAGTCGCCGTTGCCACCGCTTGTGTCAGCCGGACCCGAGTGGGAGTGAGGGGGGAAAAGCAGGAGGATGAAGTTCGCCGAGCACCTCTCCGCGCACATCACTCCCGAGTGGAGGAAGCAGTACATCCAGTATGAGGTACCGACCTCCCTTCACTGCGCGCGTCTCGAGCGGAGCCGGAGCCGGAGCCGGAGCCGGCGCGGCGGGGAGCCACTGCGGCATCCCCCACCCCCCGCCGCGCCGGTGCCCTGTGCCCCTGCCGGTGCCCCGGCCGTGCCGCCGGCTCCGCTGCCCGCCCCTCCCCCTCCCGGTGTAACGGATCTGCGGGGACGCAGAGCCGCCTGTGCGGCTTCCTGCGAGGTGCGGGCCGAGAGAGGCAGGGGCACCCCCGCGGGGGCCCGCTGAGCGAGCTCTCCCAGGCTGGGCTTCCAGGTGGCCCCCTTCCCCGTCCTCACCGAGCCCCCCGTGACCACTGTTGACAAAGCCTCTGTAACTTGATTTGAACACAGACTGACAGAAAGACCCCCTCCCCACCCCACCGGGGCCGTGCAGTCAGCGCGACGTGTAAACACCAAATTATTTTGATCAAATGTCCCATTTTGTTTCTGGGCAGAGGATACCGCTTTCCTCATTTTGCACGAAGTATGCAAAGTAGCCGGGTCGGGTGTTTGTTTTGTGTTCTTGTTTATGGAAGGGGTAGGAAGGAAGGAGCGGAGCATGCTTTTTTTTTTTTTTTTTTTTTGAGGTCTCTTTCTTAATGTTTTTTAATTTTTCATTTTAAGGTCTGCTCCCTGCTTACCACTCCGCCGCCGCAAACTCCCCTCCCCCCCACCTCCCTGTATTTTTATTTGCTAGGAAGAGAGATCAGTCCCTTAGGGTTCCTTAGAATCTGTGTGTTTGTAAACAGTCCACTTTATAGCCCTACCTGAATATTTTGGTGGTCATAGCACATTCTATAATCAGCCCTAGTTTGGGAGAGAATGATAGCTCATGGAGGATGTTAAATATAATGATAAAGGTACATGCGGTTACTTTAGATTAACATAAGGAAAATAAAGATAATGCAAAGGTTCATATACTTAGAAGGGCTTGAAGTACTCAGTAGGCTTGGCTATTGCACACAGACCCTGGACGGAGAGAAAAATTATTTTAGAGCAACAGTATCTCTAACCTCCAGGAGTTCGTCTCTATGCCCTAGACGGAACAAAGAGTATAAAATCAATATGACCCATACCTAGGATGCCGATTCAGGGATTAAATCATTTCATCGTTTTACTTGATTTTAATACAAGCTTGATGAAAAATAAAAAGGGTATCCAATGATAGAGGTTTACCTTTTCATGTAAGCACTATAATTATTGGAGAAGTTAAGAGATAGGCATGTAGGACGGTTAAATGTTAATTTAGGATTTAGGATTACTGGAAAAAATCCAGTTGCAATGTAAAATATTTGATTATTGGCAGAAATAAAAGGGCAGAGAATCATTTATTATCTCTTGTCAATTCAGTTTTTGGTAGTGTTTTGTGGCTCTTAGGTGATTGAGAATTGTAATACAGAGACTACCATTTTGGCCTGTAGTGTCTTTGTGATTTACTGTTTTTAATAACATTCTGTTAATTTAAAAACCTTGGCTGTAGTCCAGATTGTGGTTTTTATTGAAAGTGGGGTGTATTGCTTTTATCTTTCTGGTAGTAATTTTCAGTACCATCGTCAGTTCTTTGTGGAAGCAGTTAAGGAGCGTGTTGAGGCAACCACTCAGGTTTCTGTGTATATGCATGCATACATACATAGATCCATACATGTGTGTACACACGTACACACAATACACAAGTTCACTCATACATGAATGTATACACATGTGCATGTACACACACACATATATGTGTGTTTAGCATGATATTTGTAAGGGACAGATAATGGAGTGAGCCACATGGGATTATTTAATATAGAAAATGGCATAGCTTGGGACTGTTTTGGGGGAAGAGGAGACACTGATACCTTGGTTGTAAATGTAAATTATTATAATCATTGTCTGCTTTGTGGATTATCCACTGTAATTCTAGGCCTCCTTCCTCACTTTGTAGCAGGGTCCTAGACTAAATTGATGGACATTAGGGACAATATGGGAGAGAAGGCAGACCTAAAACCATCCCTTGATCCTACCATCTTTTCAGGTTATCATTTTATAACCTCTTCTTAATCAGACTCTCAGAAAAAGCTGCTGTACATATTTCCTCTGATTTTCTCATCTCCTACTCTTTGACCTTACAACCTGACTTCTGACCTCATCATTCACTTGAAAAGGTTCTCTCTCTCTTCAGGGTTAACAGTATATTAGAAAACTACCAAATCTTGTGACCCTCTCACAGTCAATATCTTTCTGTACCTCTCTGTAGCATTTGGCACTGTTGACCATCTTGGTGAACTGTTCTCTTGGATACTTTTTCCTCCATGGGCTCTCTTCTGATCCTCCTTCCACCTGTCTGGCCTCTCTTCTCACATTCCTTTGTTAGAGCATACAGGCCCTCCCAGCGAGCCCCTCCCTTCCCCTCCCTCCCCTTATGTGCTCCAGTCCTTGTCTTTCTCCTGAACTTTTATCATATCACCAGCAGCCTACTAGAAATCCCCAACAGAATGTCCAGCGGGCACCCAAACTCAGCATGTCCAGTATGCCCTTCCACCCTTCCTTCCCCTCTGCCTCCCTTTGTTATCTGTGATGAGAGCACTGCCATTTTTCTGGTCACCTAGGTTTTCAAATTTAGTTACCTTGCGCTCTCACACCATGAGTTGCTAGGTCTTGACTACTGTTCCTCCTTAATGAGTCTTAGATCTTTCCCCTTCATTCCTGGTGTGATTGTCATCCCACTTCAAGCCCTTGTCCCCTCTCACCTGGACAATTGCAATAGTCTTCTGTTGTATTTTCCTGCCATCAGTCTCTACCTTTTCCCATTCATTCTCTACATTTATCGCAGAGATATTCCTAGAGCATTGCTCTGATCATGTTTCTCCCTTGTTCAGGATGCTCCAGTAGCTCCTTCTTGCCTCTCAGATGAAATAAAAATGCTTTTTGGCTCTTGCATCCCTTCAACATCTGTCTCCAGCCTCCTTTTCCAGGCTTATTGCTTATTACTCTCTTTAATGCACTTCATAGCCTAGCCAAACTGGCCTCCTTGCTGTTCGCCATCCATTCCATCTCTTTTTTTTCCCCCCTTGGCACAGGTGCTTCACCAGCTCTAGAATATAGTCCCTGCTCTGCTCTAACTCACAGAATTCCCAACTTCCTTCAGAGCACCTCTCCCTGCAGGAGGCTTCTGCTGATTACTTCGGTTGCTACCCCCCCCCCCGCCCCCCTCCCCCCGCCCCAATATTGCTTTGTATCTTTTCTCTGTGGCTCAGTATGTAGTTCAGTGGACCTGAAGTATGGAAGAGCTGAGTTCAAATACGACATCAGACACCTATTAGCTGTATCACCCTGAGCAAGGTATTTAACTTCTCTTTCTCAGTTTCTTCATTTGTAAATTGGGGAAAATAATAATGCCTACCTCTCAAGGTTGTTGTGAGGATAAAATGTGTTAATATTTGTAAAGTACTTGCAAACTTTAAATCGGTGTTTAATTGCTAGACATTATGTTTTTCCTATGCTCTCCGCTAGAATATAAGCTCTGTGAGGGCAAGGACTGTTTTGATTTTATTTTTATATACCCCAGAGCCTTTCACAATGTCTGACTCATAGTAGGCACTTAATAAATGTTGAATGAGTATATGAATAAAAAATCACGTATATGTGATTATTTTCCAGAGTCCAGTATAAATGATTCTGCATTATGTTATATATATATACAGTCTTAACCTCTGACCTCTTTTCCATCATGGTAGATTATTGCTAGTTGATTGTATCTATACATATTTGAAAATCTCAGATTATAATGACTAATTTTGCATATAAGATAGATCACACTAAATAAAGGACAGTTTTCTTTGTGACTATGAGATGGTATAGGTTTTTTATTCTTGAGGTCAGCATCTTTGTTTGTATTCTATATGATCAGTTATTAGTGGTACATGGTCCAGTTCCTTGAAGTAAGGTGACTAATTGTTTATTGAATTCAGTTTGTTGAATACACAGTGGTCTTTTAAAATAAGAAAAATATTTTAGAGTTCTCGTTGATCCTAGAAATTGTGGAAGACTGAAAACTTTGGAGAAGATAGAACAAAGTTTATCTCTAAAACCAAGTGCTTTATAAAAGGTTTGTAGAATTATTCATAAGTCTTTGGTAGTGTTTATGGAAACCATTCATAGTGTAATTAATGTGTTGAGATTCATCACATATGAAGATGAACTTCAACATTAGAAGTCAAAAGAACTTGGCATGTTTAACAGAAGAGGAAGTGAGTATTGGTGAGAGGAAATACTTGGCCAGAATTATCGAGCAGTTAAGTGGCAGCACCAATCCAGTACCTTTTTCCCCACTATACCACCTTGTTTTCCCCAGAATGATGGTACTGAGTCACCATTAGTAGAACATCTACTTTGAGATGTTTTTCTACTAGTGGTGATGTATTTCCCATATTTTACCTATGTTCTGCTCAGTCCCTCTTTGAATTTCTGGGAACAGTATTGAGATCTGATACTGTTGGTTACCTTGAGGAAATTGTCAATGTAATTTTGTTGTGATGAAATATTGCTCTCTGGAAGATTATGTGAAATAAATGGGCTAGCCCTTAGGGAAATTTTGTATTAAATGGAGATGAGTTGTTTTTTTTTTTTTTTTTTGTAATGGCATATATTAGAATGAGATGTAATCTTAATAGTTACTGCTAAAATGACTAAACAGTTTTAAGAACCTTAAATTTTATCCCAAATCAATTCTGGAGTTTTTCCTTGAAAGTCTTGAAAAGGACAGAATTATTTTTCATAAAACTTAGTGGTTTTTTTTATAAAAATTTAATTATTAATTTGGTTATTATAATCACAAAGTCAACAACATGCATTTATTAGGCATTTCTATGTGTCAAGCACTGTGCTAAGCACCGAGGAAACAAAGGAAGAAAAAAATAGTCTCTGCCCTCAAAGCACTCACATTCCAATGGGGAAGACAACATGCAAACAACTGTATACGTACAAGATATATACAGA